ATGGTGTCATCCTGCTCCTTTATCTGTCCATAAGCACATTGTTTGATTGTGATGGCGACAACCCCCGCTGTACATCTATTTTTCAGCCAACAAATTAAGTCAATCATATATTTCATCCACCATCAACCACAGTAAAATGTGCAAATGACCAAATATATGCAACCAAGTGTAGCTTTTGAAACTTCATATTAAATTGGATATTTGTAAAATTTACATTGAACTTTGAATGTGGCAGAATTCATTATACATGAACATTGTTAAATGTAGAAACATTAATATAACACACCCAGTTGTTGTAATCAACAGTATACAGAAAATGTGTAATTACAATATACAGATGTAACAATCAGTGTGTGATATTCTACTAGTTGTCTACTGCAGATTCTAATATATTGATATATAATCTAGAATCCACAATTGATGTGTGATTTAGGCTACAGTATATAACTGATTTACAATATGCAGCTGATGTGTGATTGGCAATACACAACTGATTTACAATACACAACTGATGTGGATTTGAAATACACAATTTAACTGATGTGTGATTTGCAATACACAACTGATGTGGATTTGCAATACACAACTGATGTGTAATTTACAATACACAACTGATGTGGATTTGCAATACACAACTGATGTGTAATTTACAATACACAACTGATGTGGATTTGCAATACACAACTGATGTGTGATTTGCAATACACAACTGATGTGGATTTGCAATACACAACTGATGTTGATTTGCAATACACAACTGATGTGTGATTTGAAATACACAACACATCTGCTGTGTACTTTGCAAATGTACAAATGATGTGTGATTACAGTACACCACTGATGTCTTATTACCACAATCAATGTGTAATCTACACTACAATTAATGTTGTATAGTCTACAATAAACTGCCAATGTGAATCCTACAAATATATGTTATTATAATGCACAATAAAAATGTAATCTACCATACAAGTCCAGCATTTAATTACAATACACAACTATAGTGTCTTAATATAAAATATAGAGCAAAGATCTTGATATGTTCATTTCACAATTAAGCTGTTACATATTCATTTACAATAGACTGGCAAGTTGTTTGCGGTAGAGCTTGTTAAAAGTTTTGTGATCAGTCGATTGTGTATTCTCATATGTTAGCAGTTGACTGAAAAAATGTGTAAATGGTGGAAAAAATGGTGGAAAAATAAATATTCCACATCAACACAACTAAAATAAACCACAGTTGACTTGCCGTACATTTGGTAAAAATGTCTGGGTTTTTTTACTTTTTGGGGCTGTTATTAAACAAATCAGTTCATGTAATGATTGATAAATATCAACTCATTTGCATAATTGATTACTCGACAAGATGATTCAACTTGTGTTTATGTCAATATGGTAAGACAATATTTACTTCTAGTATCTAAATAAACAGTTTGGCCTAACAATATATCCTCATGGTTACCTAGTAAACACATCAAAATAACACAAAAACATAACAATAACACACTTCTTCATACTCCATTTGTCTCAAGAAGATTTTCTTGTTTTACAATTTCAAATTTGTGAAGCAACATGTTGGTCGATCAGCATTTTTATTTTTAAATCTCTGAACTATTATGTGAAAATCGATATGGAAATTTTAAATGCAGGATGTTTGAGAGAAAAAAAAAATCTTAGTAGAGTTTTTACATGATTTGAAAAATTGCATTTACATAAATCAGTTCAGTAAAAGTCTCGGTAAGAAAAAATAACTCAAAATTGTTTTTTTGTTGATTCTGTCTGAATCCATTATTGTCAGCCGTAACAGTTAACTTGATGACAAGTACATTATTTTAGATAACTAGACCAAAAGAGAGTTTAATTCAGACAGAACAAAAGTGTTTAAAATTCTCTTAATCATTTGTTTTGGCATATTTGAGAAAATTAGTTATCTTCTGGTACTCCTAAAATTATCATAGAACTAATCTTCTTCACTCACTTACCCTTCTGATCTACTTCCGCTCCTTTTATAAGTAAAGTATGGTAGCAAATAGTAAGTTCAGGAGAACCCCACTACATGCAAAACAAAACTGACAAGACTAACCTGCAGACAAGACAAGCCACACAGAAATTGCAAGAAGTGAACAACAAATATATTAGGTTAATGAACCCGCGGGCCAGCCGTAAGCATCCACTGCGCTGAACTTGGGCCTGTAATGATGTAGGCGTCACTCATATTGGGGAAAAAATAGAAAGCTGTATTGTCTCCTAAAAGGCAATTATTTGCCAGTGAATGTCGTGAGTTAAAACGTTAAAAATTTAAAAATAACAATGCGATAATCCGGTTAGAATCTTGGAAAATGCTGAAAAATAATAATGTGTACTTTAGTTACTATATTAAAGGCACACTAATCTAAACAAATACAGCTAGACTCTCTGACCACACAATTAAAAATAATCTTATCTAAAAGCTTATTGGTCAAAATCTTATCTACAATCCTAATTGAAAGTTCCCATTACTTTCTATTGATTACATACTGCCATCTTTTCCCCTTAGATCATTAGGCAACACCTAAATGATAACTTTTCCCCTTAGATCATTAGGCAACACCTAAATGATAACTTTTCCCCTTAGATCATTAGGCAACACCTAAATGATAACTTTTCCCCTTAGATCATTAGGCAACACCTAAATGATAACTCATTTCCATCCACGATGAGTCGGTTGGATTATTTTCTATAGAACAAATTTCAGTCTTTATTTTTTTTTATAAATATGGAGAAAGTTGTTATTGCCATTCTGGCACATTGCATCCTTAATGCTTTGAAATGATTCTGCCTTGAACAGATTGTTAGTTGTGTGAACTTTTCAAGTCAAGCAAAAGTGGTATTAGGATTTCTAAAAATATGCATACCCTGTCTTATGCATGATCTATTTCACAAATTATACATAATTGGAGGAATGATATGCCTGCCTCAAACTGCAACACAAGTCATTATTAATTTCTGCTTAGCTGGTCTTTATAAATGGGGTGAATGTTATATAATTTGTACAAGTAAACAGACAGGTGAAAGCAAGGATTTTATTCACAAGTCAATCGCACATTAATTATTCTCACAAATTAATGGGAATTAAAGCTTGCTATGATCATTGGAAGAGAACCAGTATTCAGAATTACACTTGCATTAGGAATTATTTTGGTACCCATAGCAGTGTTACATATTTCTTCTATTTTGTTATTCATTCATTCATGTACATGTATTAAGATATTCCAACAGACCTGTGTGCAACCCAAAATGACATATCCGGATACCGGTTCCTTAAATTCAAGTAACATTACCATAAATAGTACCTTTTTGGTGGTTACATTATCAATTCATTCAAAGTCTCACTCCAGTTAGCTGTAAGTAGTGATCGGTGTTGTTTACAAGGCAAGGTATGCTTACTTTTTAGAATACTAGATACCACTTCTCAATTGAGTTAACATAGCTAACATAATTGTAAATTTTCTGTAAAATTTAATTAATCAACAAATTTGTATGCATTAAACCTATTTAAATTGAATTCCTTTCAATCTGAGTGTTGATAACCAATTTCCATAACTGGCATGATTGTATCCAGAACAATATGCCATTGTTCCCATAATAAATTGTCTTGAATGTCTTTTAATATGGGGAATGGTTTTCTCCTTGTCAGTAGTTCAGGACAGAAGGCCAGGCAAGGACTGTCTAGTCGTATGGATGGTGCAAAAAACGAGGTACAGTGTAGACATTGGTATACACTTAAATATACATTATGGGAGATTCGATAAGGAGTTGGCAGTTCTCACTATAATAGTTAAAAACTAGATAATGGAAAGGCAATTTGCTGAAAATTTCATTCAATTGATCCACTATGAACCGAGAACTAAGCGGTTGAAATTTCCGGCTAGCCTTGATCATCATTACTAAAGTCAGTACGATAAACCGTATAGTCTTGATTATCCATTTAATCGTTTAATCGTGAAGGAAAGGTATGCAGTAAATCGATGCCATCTAGAGTTGATTATGGTCTGGGTAGGTAATTTAATGTCTAATTAATAATTTAGATAACTTTCAGACCTAAAGAAAGACCTGCAATAGACAGATTTAGCTCTTACATAATGTATGTTTAAAAGAACCATTGATAGAAATCAAAATAAGAGTCCATGCAAAATTTCCCACATTGCACACTGTATGGTGTATGCCCATCTTCATTAGCCCTGTCGTTTCAGAAAAGTAGAATGTTAAGCCCCATTTCATTTTGATTCTTTTAATATGGTAACATAAAAAGTTAGCCCCAGCCTACTCTCTGATTATTCAACCTTTGTTAATTCAGAATACTGTCTGATTGATGTAGGCATTATGTTTTGAATTTAAATGCTAATATACAACTTTCCAAATATTAATCAACTACTATTGACAACTTTAAGATTTCTTTATCCAATTTCTTCTTCAATAGCTAATAAAATTTATATGAGCTATTGTGCCCTTCAGTTCCAATATTATCAGTATCTAAATACAATTGTCCAATTAGTTTAACAAATAATTACATTAATAATTAACATATTCAATGCAATTTCTAATTATTAATTCATTAAATTACACCCAAAATTTATAAATGAAATATATTTAATTTGAAAAATGCATGCAAGACTGAAACCTTTTAAACAAAAATAAATTCCTCACATGGTATTACATTGATTAAATAAAAGATCAAAGATTTTTTTTAAAGTTTGTGTAATGGTTTTCATTAAAATGTCTTAATTAAATATGAAAAGTTTTGTGCATGTATTTATATGTAAGAGTAGAGGTAAGAAGGAATGTGTGTATGTTATTGTTAGTCCTGTATTTGTTGACTGTCTGCTCGAACCTTTGTTTACATTTGATCATTGTTTGTGCATGGAAAATAAATTTTCAAAAAAAAGAATGTACATCCAGGAATACATTAACAATATCCAATTGAGAAAAAAGAGAGATTTCTATAGATAAAATTGACCTACCTATTAAATGGTACTAGTTAATCCTATTGTATGCTCATGTTCAGTATTCAGGCATTTAGTTTACACCCTAGCTGAAAATCCCCCACGTGCCTTCCGATCAGCATTTCTGGTGGGATGCGTTATTAGTCGCACACAGGACAAGTCACTTCTCTTCTTTAATGTGACAGGTAACAACCATTTTCAGCAGCAAACCAGGTATATTAAGGTATTTCATAATAAAGGTAAAAGTATATTGCGTGAAGATTTTATATATATATCAAATTTCTCCCTAGATAACTCTCTGTTTGGATATTAAATGAATATACTCTTTCGTGACCTGTCACTAAGACTGTATCGGATGGTTAAAAATAGCTGTCTTCTCTCTAGCGTGGGAAAGTGACACACCAAATATTGATAGTTGAATTAGAACACAACCAATCATCAGGCTCCTTGTTTTTGCTTCTAGAGGTTTCAGGTTAAAATCAGGGTTCTATTGCCATCAGATTCTTACCCCCAGGGACCTGCGTTTGTTTACTTTTTACCTTTTCAAGAGTATATGATATTTTTGTGTTTATTATAGAGTACAACTCCTTATTGTTATCCCCCTGAAAAGGCTTAAGTAGTCATATAAATTTAATCAACTGTGTATTTAGTTATCTGTCACCTTTAAGGCCAATGCAGAAAAATTATTTGATTCACAAAGGATTAAAGGTGTGATTTCAATTGCTTTATGATTCATTGTTAAAACCTTACAAGTTTTGATAGAAAAGTTAAATTCCAGACAGTGTTTGCCCAGACCAGTTCAACCAGTGCTTAAACATGATTTTTATATTGAGGGATGCAAAGAGACTTCTGACGTAAAATTTGCTCAAAATGAGTGGGACACAAAATGTTGGAGTCAAGTGATTGGTTGGAATCTGTATAAATTAATCGTACTTATCAATAAACTACATTTACTATGTTCCCTTGAAATGACATTTCATCCCACAAGGATTATGGTTCAGTAGCATAGCCTCCATTGCCAAAAGATGCTTTAGGTGCCCCCACATGGGTAATCATAATATTATTGATAAATTAGACTAAAATTGGTTAAATTGCATAATAAAGGAAGAAAAAGCAGTATAGAGAAGTATATTTAATAATTGTACAGAATAATGAGCAGTATTTTAATATTGTTACTTATATTTGAGTAGAAATATATGCCTAAAAAAAGGGAGGGCATAATTATTAATGGATATCATAAGCCAGAGCTATATAGCCTTCAATAATAACGACAACATTTTTAAAATCAAGCCTCTGTCAGCATGTGTATAAAATTTAAAATTATCACGGTAAACGCTATATTAAAACTGTTTTTTTGACCTAATTCCAACCAATGTCACGTGTCATTGGAGATTCATCATTGGGGATTCTGTCCCTATTATTAATGACTGTTTCTCAGTGTATTTTGGTTTTATCAGGGGATTATTATTCAATGAAGATTTAAATTTACATAATAACTAGTCAGTGAATCCATCAATGTATGATCCAGTTATTATTTTAATATCTACCGGTACCTGGAATTCATACAGAGCGTTGATGACGCGTGATTCACAAACTATCCCGAGACCATCTTCATTTGCCACCTGGCTTATCACAATGGCAGCTTCTATTATGAATAATCAGCAAGCTAGTTTTGTTTTTTTACCGCATTATCAAAATTACCGTTGCATGTGCTAATTACTCGGATTATGAACCACATGGCTGATTCTCACTTAAGGTATGATTGTTGTTGTAGCCATCAAACAAGTTTATTGACTTCTTAATTAACAACTAATAATTAACCTGTTGTAATTTAGCCGAAAGTAGATTGATTTATGATACCATAGTGGCTGATTCATTGTTTTACCAATCAGCAAGATTAAACACCAGTCGGCCAAAGTTGACAAAAACGAGCTGATTAAAAAATAGTGGTTGACAGCTCAGTAGTCTAATTGCTAAGTTTGTTTATAGTGATAACGATAATGTAATTTCCTTGTTTGCTGAGATTAGCATCCATGTTTTTCCTTGTTTTTTTCGTGACGTCTGCTTTTTCACTTTCATAAAAATTGAATCTGGTGATTTGCAAACGAGATATATAAGATTACATCCACAAAGCACAGCATACAAAGTTTACAGTTTTAACAAAATTTGATCTTAAGATAACTTAAGGAAATAAGTGGACCAGTAAACATTTACAAAGAATACTTTTATTTTCCTTGAACAAGACACCTGTCCTCAGATGACCATGTCAAGGTCACTCATTGACTGTAATCCTTAAGTAGCCTTGATCAACTGACCATACCTCTTTGTGTGTGTTTTATTTTACAAGAGGTTTAGATAGGGGAGGGGTAACATCTATTCGGTGCAAACTAGGTCATTTCTGAACTAACATATGGTAGGCTACAATTTTATTTCAATATTTTGGGGTGTTTAGCAGTGGGAGGAAACTGGAGGACATTTAGAAAAACCCAAGTTTGTCCAGACCTTATGACAGACCTTATGATCTAAACCAAATGTGTTGAAGCACTGGACTCTTCAACCCTCTGTGGGCTTTGGGCAATGATATGGAATGAGTAACAGATATCAGTTCAGCATTTTATTGTTTGGCATTGGAAAGTAGGAATAAAAATCATTCTAAATTCCTCAAGGAAACACATTAATAGCAGTAAATCTGGCTAAGAATTCCACGGTCAGTTGTCAGTTTTGTATGTCAGAAAATTCAAAGTATATTACAATTTAAGATTTTAAAAAAGCATAATATTCTTGATATTAATGTGTTTTGTAAAAATAAAGGGAAATCATTATCTAAGAGGGGCCAAATTTTAGTCTTCTGCTATAACATTAGAAATACGATATTTCATACGTTTCAGATATCTCTTCAAGTGCATATGAGCATAGACCTTATATTATAAGATCCATGATATGAGACACAATTAAAGGGTTTATTTTTCCTCCTTATTTTGTTTTCTGATAAGATATTTTCCCACGCATACAGTGACTTGTTAAATGGTTTTATATTGACAATACGTAATATAAATGGTGAAGAGATTAGAAGTAGTGAAGTACTGTTTTATACAGTTGTTTCAACAAAGATTAATATATATCAATATGTCAAGAGTTCCTGTATATCCAAGTTATTTCAGCTAATGATATTAATGATATGATTAGGCTTCAACAAAACAAGGTCTGGATCGGAGATTTCTCATGGATTATTGGTCAACATATACATCATGACAAAGATTAATATGAACAAGTTACAACATTCTTTTGGCGTGTAGAATCAACTTGGGGAACCTTGCGGAGCTCCCCTATGAAAGTAGCAGTTGTTGATATGGATTGTGGGTATATCCCATATCTTACAAGGATATAAGTTTGCAAGAAAATAGATTCTATTAACTCTTAACTGACCCAAGGCGACTTTTGTCGACACCTATAACGTTACCGTTAAGTACCCACGGCGACTTTTGTCGACAAAACCAGTTAGCCGAATGCAACGTTCCTAGCGTAATGAGAGTTATTTCCCTTATGAACAGACGACTTTATCTCATTTATTTACTTCCTGTTTGACATTTTGACAGTTAAAAATCTTACTGTTTCTCCTTGAAAAATTATAATAAAACGGTGATATGTCTAGACCTATTCGGCAACGTTCACCTAATGACGGATTACCATCCTTATTGAATGACAGTGATTCAGATTTTATCTGTAGTGTAGATTTTTTACAGTTTTGCGTTAGGCCTAGAACGTGATAGAAGTAGGCTTAGTTAATCAACAAATTTCTATTACGGTACTTAAATAAGCTTAAATTTTGAGATTCATGATTAATAATTTTTAGTTCACAACAGCCGAACAAAAAAAAAAAATAGAAATAACCATTATATACATGGATTTTGCATGAAATGTCTAAATTAATTTTTTGTATAAATTTATATTTATGAAAATGGCATTAAATTTAGATTATTTCATCCATTTACATTAAGGGTCTATCTACAGTTGTTTATTAATGATATGACTTTAAAATGCATATCTATATTTCAATACTATTGACCATTATGACGTGGGTTTTTATGACGTTATGACGTCAAACCTCTGGGTCGTTTAAGAGTTAATTTGTTTGATTAAACCGGTTTACCTTCTATTGCTGGCATGATTCTTGCTTCAAATATTATATAAATTATTATTTGGACATTTATGCACATGACAAGCCCATAATCAACTCTCTAGATTATTGGATGGCTTAGATATAAAGTGGATTAAACAATGCCAGGCATATCTCTGTTACACTAAGATAGGACTGGAGACTGCTGATGAAAGGGTTGACAATCAAAACTTCATTGATTATTATGAAATGGTACTTGACAATCAACAATATGAATAATGGTGGACACTAGTCTGAACTTCAAACATCACTCATAATAAAGAAATTTGACTTAAATTTTTAATATATTAATTTTTCATTATCTATCTTTTAACTGTTATAGTGAGATCGGCAGGCCCTTTATCTAAATCTTGCATAATGCATCTTTAATATCCATCAACGAACTTATGCTAGCTTTACGATCACTAGTCATTTTAATGCAGATCAACTTTGTCTTGTGAATGGCTTTCAAGAAACCTGGTAACTAGAGAAAGTATAAAAGATTAAAATAATGCATCAGCACATTTATAATTTACATCCTTTCTTCAGAGAAATATATAACCATCTTGAAAATTAATGTTATTTTGCAGATAGATATTGTTATGCATCCCAATGTGAAATGTTTGTTGTAACTTCCATACTCATGCTTGTACATGAATAAACTGTTATTATTATTATTATTATTATTATAATTACAGTCAAAAGTTTAAGATCTGAGTCATCAACACAATTTTGATTCATCAAAATTAAGATTTGGCTCTAATTGTCCGTGTAAATCTAGCTTATGACTGACTCATTCAAATCCTATAAAATAACATGTTGTCACATATCTTGAGGAAATATATTGTTGACAAAATATTATAGTTATAACTTTTTTTATGAGAAAATCATTTAATACTATCAGAAATAACCAATAATGCAACACGAAACTCAAATTAACCTTCCACCATATTGGAAATATCAACAAAGATCAGCTCATTCCAGATGGTTGCAAGAATTTCAATAGTTTCCATATTGTCATATGAAGTGAAGCATATGGGTTTTGATAATGAAAATATTAGAATTGTCTGTCCTTGAGTGTATTGTGACAGATTTATACAATAATAAAAGAATAGACAGGATATTTAAGATCTAATATTACAACATTCTCTTATGAGTTAAAATACAAATGTC